GAATTAAATCTCTATTGGTAATTTTGAATTAAATCTCTATTGGTAATTTTGAATGAAATCTCTAGTGGTAATTTTGATAATAGACTAAGAGCAGCCCTCATCATTAAACTTGGCTAAGCACTACCAAAGCCTGAAAACCTTACCATGAGGTGGAGGAGAGGGGACAGCACTCCCAAGCCATGGCTGAGGCTGGGAAACAGCACAAGCTGAAGCTTTTAGGAAAAGCTCTGTTGGATTCAGCTCAGGAATGTGATCCCAGTCTGGCATCACAGAGGGAATGGAGCAAATTTTCTTTGCTCCACTGGTTCCCCCATCCATGGAGCTGTCCTGGCCACCAGTCTTTGGGGTTCAGGATATCCTGGCTCCCTGCCACTCCTCATTGTTGCTGTGCTGTTGGGAGCAGCCCCAGCTGGTGAAGGGTCCCTGATTTGGTGTCTGTGTGTCCCCCAGGACCCGCAGAGCCATGGGTGGCACTGTGACATTCAAGGCAGCTCTCACAGCACGGTTAGGTCTCATCAGGCCCTCCTATGAACAAGTGCAGAAATTAATATCTGACAACCCACCTCAGCTAACTCCAGGAATAAGGTAAGAAGAATTGAATTTTTATTTTTTTTTAAAGTGTTCAGGAAGCAGATGGAATAAATAAAGCAAATTCTGTGTCATTAGTGGTGCTGTAAGGCCACAGAGCTGGTTGGTGTTGCCTTTCCTGCCCCATCTCCGTGCTGGGTGTGTGCAGAGCTTGGATCAGGAGCCTGGCTCCATGGCTGGTGGTTAAACATCCATGGAAAAAGAAAAGATTCTTAGATATTAACTGGCACCTTGGCTGCCAAGCTCAGATCCTGGCTGGAGGATTAAATGGGCATGGAAAAGAATCTGTTCAACCTCTGGTTTTTCATGGGTGATGGGACTGGGAGGAGATTTAATACCTCCCTAAATTTGGTCTATTCTGCAACTCTGTTACCTCTCTCTGCTCAGTGCAGTTTGGGGGATCCATTGCTTAGGGACCCACTCTAAAGTCCCTAAAAACATTAAAATTAAACACACATAAACATGTCTAACACACATAAATATGTGTATTCATTCATCCTGAGGTTTGGAATGAACATTAACTATTTAAGCTGAAAAGCTCTGTGGATTTTTTCCCCCTATTCAAATTGTTTCTATGCATTGCAAAGAATTCCTTTACTACAAAATCTGACCATAGCTTCAAGTCTGAAATATTTTCAGCATATAAAAAGAGTTTTTGATGATCCTGTGCTTGTATTGTATCTTTTTTTCTGTAGAAGACAGCTAGAGGTAGCTACAAAGAGAACATTGTTTCCTCAGGATCATGTGATTTTCCTTTTCATTCCTTTCCCTTTCTTCTTCCTTTTCATTCCTTCCCTTTCTTCCTCCTTTTCATTCCTTCCCTTTCTTCCTCCTTTTCTGTGTCCTGCTTTAAGGCTCTGCTTTGCTTTTCAGTCTTTATTGTTTCTGCTGGTCCTGCCACCCCTTCCCCTTGCTGCAGGCTGATCTTCTGCCTCCAGAGCCAAAGCCCAAAACTCTGCTCTGCCTTCAAGTCCTGCTGGCATTCCTGGAGTCACAAACTTCTTGTTTTGATTCCTTTTCTGTAGCTGGTGCCTTCTTCTAAAGATGGCATCAATGTCCAGCATCTGGTGAACCAACTCTGAGCTAGAAAACATTTGCATTTTGCACTTTTCAGCCCACTTAGCATTTTGGAGCAGTGGTTTCCTCTCATCCCCTGCTTTTTGCTGCATTCCAGATGAGAAAAAAAAATTTTGAACTGGATTTGCTCTCACTTGTTCAAGGGAATTAATGTGAAGGTGGAAAGAAAAGAGTTTTGGGCAGTGTTTGTTTTTGAGGAGTGAAGTGATGGTTTTGTGCAGCTCTTGCCAGACACAGAGAGGGAAAAGCTTTGGGCAGCACAGCCCAAACTCAGCTGGAGTAGCACAAACACCCCAAACTCAGCTGGAATAGCACAAGGCCTGGCTCAGGGAGGGTTTATTTCACCTTTGCCTGTCTGTCCCCAGGGAGCTGGTGAGCAGACTCCACCAACGAGGGGTTCAGGTGTTCCTGGTCTCGGGGGGCTTTCAGAGCATTGTGGAACACGTGGCCCTGCAGCTGAACATCCCCACAGCAAACGTCTTTGCCAACAGGCTCAAATTCTACTTCAACGGTGAGAGCCCCCTCCAAATCCTCCCTCTGCTGATCAATGGCACTTTGCTGCTCCAGCTCTCAGATATTGGCCTGCAGATTGATAACTGTCCTGTTATCAATCCACGGAGGAAAACTACAGAACCTTACCAAAAACCAGCTCAGGGCGTGCTCAGTGTAAGGAACAGAGCTGGAGTTACTTTTTAATTGCAAGCTGTGCCAAAGGTAAAACTGTGTGCAGCTGCTGAGAGCAGAGTTTCATTTTCTCCTCTCCTCCAAGTTAAAGAGTCCATGACCTGAGGTGCTCTCCCAGCCCTGCCTTTCAGGGGCTTTGGGCCCTGCAGCTGCTCTGGGTTTGAAGCTCTGTCCCAGCAGTTGTAGGTACTCAGGTTGTTCTTACTCAGGGTTTCCTACACTCTGCATCATCCTGGGTGCTGCTCTGGGATGTTCCCACCAGAGTGGCTGGGAATGGATTGGTAGCACTGCCCACACTGGTTTTCCCTGAAAATGTCTCTGTTTTTCTTTGAAAAACTTAGATGAAATCCAAGCCTTAAACTTACCTTTGAATTACTGATTTGGGATGCTGTGCTGTGAGTTTTACAGGGCTGCATGCACTGAAATCAAGACCACAGAAATTTTCCTTCATTTACCAGAAAATATGGTAAATATATGTATATATGGAAAATATCTGTATTTCCAACTTGTCCCTCCATTGTTTTCCAGGAGAATATGCAGGATTTGATGAAACACAACCAACAGCTGAATCAGGGGGGAAAGGAAAGGTTATCACTCATCTGAAAGAACAGTTCCATTTCAAGAAAGTGGTTATGATTGGAGATGGAGCTACAGACATGGAAGCCTGCCCTCCTGGAGTGAGTATCCCAGAAATCCTGAATTCCTTCTGAGCAAAATCCTTGGGGCAAAAAGAAGAGTGAGGTTTGGATTCTTTAATTAACAAATGACCAGAAAGATAATTTTATAAATGCTCATGTACTAGGGAAAGATTTGAATTCCACCTCTCCTTCAGCTCCTTTCCCCACACAAAATTCCCCCAATACCCCAAAAGTGCTCAGGATTTGTTTAATGCTTCCCACCTCAAGGCAAAAAAAAACCAGAAAAAAAGAAAAAAAAAAGCTGCAGTGGAAATTTTAAACCCTGCACTTTCACTGCAGGGGGTTCTGTGAGATGTAGAAATGATGATTGCTCTGGTTAATGATTGAGGACAGGGTTAAAGTTTGCTTTTGGTATCTCTGAGATGAGGCAAACAGAGGTAAGACAAACAGGAGAGGGGTAATTGTGGGATGCTCATGCCTGAGCCAATGTTTACCTGCTCTTGAATGGAATTGCATCACATTTACATCAGATTCTCAGTAAAATCTCAGTAAAATCTGAACAATCTGGAAGCTACAAGGCACTGAGGAAAACCCCAATAACCAAAATGCTGCAGAATGAATCGTTAATAAATCTGAAAAATGAACACGCAAAGGAAAACATGGTAGAGATTTTAAAATCCTATCTTAAAAAGCAAATTTAATTACTGGGAAAAATTTAATTGCTCCTTCATGCAATAACCCCTGTGCCCATTCCTTGTGTTTCTCCAGGATTGCTTCATTGGATTTGGAGGCAATGTGGTCAGAAAGCAAGTGAAGGAGAAAGCCAAGTGGTACATCACCCACTTTGATGAACTGCTAAAGGAGCTGGAAGAGCGATAAATCCTCCTGTAAAATAATCTATTTAACACCTGTAAATCCATTATACAATGCCATTAAACATTTATTTGTTTGCAAACTTGTGGCCTGGAGTTTTTTACTGATTCTGGGGGTTGGGGATCTTCCACTGTGGTTCATGTGGCAAATGGCACCATGCTACTCAAATGGGTTGGAATGAAAATGGGGAATATTTTTAATAAAACTTTCCTATGGTGGAAGAAATAAATTATTTACTTTCAAGGGAAGACTAAACATAGAAAATAAAAAGTTAAAAACACCTGAAGAGATTATCTCTTGGTCAATATTGGACATCTGTTGTTTCATCAGTAATGCTTTGCTTATTTTGGGTAACCTAAAAAGAACAAGGTCACAAACAAAAACTTTGCCTAATCAAGAATAATAACATTATTATTATTATTATTATTATTATTATTATTATTATTATTATTATTATTATTATTATTATTATTATTATTATTTCAGGCTGCAGTACCTTTTACTGCCACAAACAATAACTTTGCCTAACCAACAATAACAATAATAATGATTATGATGATGATAACATTAATAATGTAATTCAGGCTGCAGTTTGGCCATTACCTTTCACTGCACAGAATCCCAGCTGCAGGTAAGCAGTGAACAGGTGGAAAACATCCCCAAATATCTCTGATTGCATAAAAATTATGGCCACAGAGCACCTGTGGTGTCATCTGTTACTTAACACCAGTTACTCAACCTGTCTGGGGCAGGAGCTGCAGGGAAATCTGAGATCCAATGTTTGTCCCTGGCCAAGAAATATTTTCAGGTGAGGGACAGAGTGGTTCCCATTCTTCATCAAAATATTCCAATCAAACTCCAAATTGCTGATTTTGGGAAGTGGTCCCAGTGTTTGTGGAATGTTTTATTCATTTCCAACTCATCCCCAGCAGCTGTAATGGGATGGGAGTGAATTCATCAACATTTAAAGGAAATTCTGGGAGACTTCATTCCCTTCCTCTGCCTCCAGTGTGGATTAACCACCCCAAACTCTGCCAGAGTTAAGCCTGTCCTGTTCTAAAAACCCCTCTGAGCTCCAGCTGATGGATTCTGGTTTTTTAAGGAGTTTATTCAGTGTCTGATCCAGGAGAACACAGCTGGGAAATGCTGACAACTCCCCTGAGTGTGTTTTTCACATTGTGGGATTTTCATTTCCCTGACTTGTAAGAATCTCACCTGTGAGGATGTGAAAAGCTTTAGCAATGTTAAAATCCATCACACCTGGCCCTTCCTTCCATCC